GGAAGGGAGAGAGGGAAGAGGAGGGGAAGGAAGGAAGGAAGGAAGGAAGGAGGGAGAGAAGGGAAGAAGGAAGGAAGGGAGGAAGAAAGGAAGGAGATTGGGAGGGATGGAGGGAAGGAAGGAAGGGAAGAAGGAAGGAAAGGAGGAAGGAAGGAGGAAAGGAGGGAGTGAAGGTGGGAGGGATGGAGGGAAGGAAAAAAGGAAGGAAGGAATGAAGGAAGGAAGGGAAGAAGGAAGGAGGGTGGGTGGGAGGGATGGAAGGAAGGAAAGAAAGAAGGAAGGAGGGAAGGAAGGAAGGGAGGAAGGAAGGGAGGAAAGAAGGAGGGAGGGTGGGTGGGAGGGATGGAAGGAAGGAAAGCAGGAAGGAAGGAGGGAAGGAGGGAAGGAAGAAAGGGAGGAAGGAAGGAAGGGAGGAAAGAAAGGAAGGAGGGAGGGAGGAGAGAAGGTTGGTTCGAGTTAGGAGAGATTTGAGAGATGATTCAATCCCAGTTCCCTCTTCGTCATCCCAGATAGTATGGTCAGAGCCAGGAATCTCACCTGAGTTCTCTGTCTTCAAACCAAATGTTCTTTACTAATATCTCATGTCCCAAACTCCCTATGCCTTTGTTTTCACAGTGGAAAGAGCACTGAGTTTGGATCCAAGGACCTGGATTCAGATCCCACCTCGGACACTTAATACCTGTGTGGCCTTGGACAAATCCCATCACTTCCATGGCCTCAGTTTCCTCGCTTGAAAAACAAAGCTGTGGGAGTAGCTGTTCCCTAGCCACCAGCTCTGATAGCCTGAGTTTGGTTAAATAAACATGTAACTACATGAATGAATAAGCCCAAGAAGCATTCCAAAGCCCGTCTTCATCCTCCAGGTGAGAAGCCTGCCTGCCTGCCTGCCTGGGTGGAGGGCTCTGCCAAGGTCATGTGACACAGTCATAGCTTGTATGCCCACAGCAGCTAGAAGGCTAGCCTCAGAGCCAGGAAGAGCTGGGTTCAGATTCTGCCTCGAGCGTATCCTGACTGTGTGACCCTGGGCACATCACTTACCCCCTCAGTGTTCTAGTAACTCCCCAAGTTTATAAGTTACCAAGAAAGTGCTGACCTGTATTAGAGGAGGGAGCGTCTTCATGTGGGAATGCCCTGTGCCCATGAAATCAGAGGCGTCATCTTTATCCCTTTCCTCATAAACCCTATGAGTTAGGGAGTATAAATATTGTTAGTCCCATTTTAGGGATGAGAAAAACTGAGGCCCAGAGAGAGGCTGTACCTCAAGCATGGTCTCAGGGCTCATGAGTGAGGGAACTAGGATCTAAACTCAGCTCTTCTGACACTGACTCCAGAAGTCTTTCTGTTATATCTCACTATTATTCCAGAATGTTTCAAAATGCTCTAGCAGGAAACCCACCTTCACTCCCCAGTGTCTGTTGCAAGGGCCTCAGTACTCAAGGCCTCCCACCATCCTTCCCCCCTCACTCTGCCGGCCTCCCCTTTGGCCTTCATGGTCACAGTTCAACTGGAACCCTGGTCCTAGAAAGCCTCTGCTCCCCGCCTCTGCCTCAGTGCAAACGCATGGCATCCCTCCTTCAGGATCATTTTCTTTCTTACTTTTTTGCAAAGCAATCAGGTTAAGTGACTCGCCCAGGATCACATAGCTAGTAAGTGTCAAGTGTCTGAGGCCGGATTTGAACTCAGGTCCTCCTGACTCCAGGGCCGGTGCTCTATCCAGGGCACCCCCCAGATCCCCAGCTTTGTGCCCATTTTCAAAGGCAAAGGTGCACTCTTGCCAAAGTTAAAAGGGCTCCAGTCTGTGAGAGTCTGGAACCCGACCCTTCTCTCCCCAAGGTACTAGATCTCCAATTCCTCCTTCCCTTATATAGCCCTGAGTCGCCACACTCACAACTGACATCCCTCAAGGGTTCAGAAAGCTCCGCCAAGTTGGCCCAGAGAGCTGGGCATCAGGCTTTAAGCAGGGCCTTCCTGAGCAAGGCTGGTATTTTCTGCCCCCAGGAGGGAGCACCTCCCTGCCCCAGGCCAGCCCCAGCCCGCATCCTCCTGTACCTCGTTTCCGGCTGCCAGGGGTGGTCTGGTGGAGACTCCAGTACAGGAAGTTGAAGGAGGACAGCAGCATCTCCACGTGGTCCAGGCTGCACTTCCCACACAGGTTACTCACTGCAAAACAGAGGGAGCCTCTCACAATACCTTGCAGGGCAGCACCCTGGGGCCTCTCCAGTGTGGAGGAGGGGCCCAGGCCTGTGCTGGCTGTGCTCCTACACAGCCTGGCATCACCACAAAGGCCTATGGGTGGATAATCCAGGGAGGACTGTGGAAAAACATGCCCTGATGGGATGAATGCAGGTACCCAGCAGTGACATGTTTCTGACCTGGTCCCGTGTGCCTCTGCTGGTGCTGCGCCAGCCTGATTCATCCTCTGTCTCCTCCACCCCTTGGCAGGGGCCACCCGCCTCCACTCTAGAGGCTGCTTCTGTGTCCTCTGTCCAATTCCCAGTTTGGATACACAAGGAATGAGGAGGCAGGGGCTAACGCCAGAGGGCGGGTCACTGAACTGACCCTGTGACATCAGTGTGGCAGAATGGCAAAACCTGACCCGAGTCTCCATAAGGACAGCAATTTCCTCATATAAAAAACCAAACAAACCAGGGATGATCATCCTTGGGAGAGGAAGTGTGGCATGGTAGATAGAGCCAGCTTCAGGACTGGGAAGACCTGGGTGTGAGTCTCTCCTCTGACCTGTCCTCACTGCCTGACCCCAAGCAAGCTGCTCCAGATCTCAGCGTCCCAAGCAGCTCTAAGAGTAGGAGTCACAGCACAGAGGCTGATCTCCACACCCCAGAGCTGGGGGAAGGGGGTGAGAATCAGGATGGGCATCCTGTAGGAGATACCTGCTCTGAAGGGGGACAGGGCTTGATACAGGGAAGGGAGGAACATGCGTCCCAACTGTGGGTGAAGGCAGGAGATGGCATGCCAGGCCCAGAGAACAGAGGGGGCTGCCAGTTTGCCTGGATCAGAGAGGGCATGAAGGGGAACAGGAGCCTCAGCTCCCTCACTGACAAAATGGGGGGTTCACTCACTGACCTCTAAGGTCCCTCCCTCGAATCTCTGAGCCTATGAATGGCCCTAGTGACAAGGCGAGGGAAGAAGGGGTGGCATGAGGACTTTCTATGCCAAGCTGAGGAGGCAGCAAACAGGGCGCTGGGGTTTGTCATGCATGGATTGGACCAGAAGGCTGCTGAGGTCAGTGGGAAGAATGCTGGTCAGCAGCCAGCTGACCTGAGTTCAAATCTTGCCTCTCTGATGCTTACTTACTACTGTGTGATCTTGGGCAAGTCACTTAACCTTTAGCGCCTTAGTTCCCCCTTCTGTAATACCAGGAGATGGGGGTTGGCTCAGAGAGCCCTGAGGTCCCTCTCAGCTCTCGATCTCTGTTCCTAGGGTGTAATTTTCATCTTGGACGCTGTTCAGTGAGACCCAGAACACGCTCACTGCACCCTCATTCACAAGTTCAACAGCACCAAATCTACGGTGTGCTGCCGCCTGAGCAGGCGTCCCGTGGGCTCTGCAGAAAGTGCCCCTCAGGGGAACCATCTGCCACACAGCAGCTCAACCAAAGAAAGGGGAAAAGGAGAAGGGTGAGGGAGCCTCAAAGCGAGCTCATGGAATTGCAACAATGGATGTCATCAGTCTCTAACTCAGAAATGCGGGTCCTCCTTAAACCTCTCCAGTGTCCCAGGAAGTCACCCATGTGAGTGGTGGGGAGTGTGGCAGAGCTGACACCCCTGCCCCCGAGGCTGGCCCTCAACCCGTCCTCAGGAGCCACCCACACAAGCGTCCCCAAGACCAGGCCCTGAATCACAGCTGCAAAGGACCTCGGCGGCCATCTGTCTACACACATGGAATCCCTATGCAAAGTCACTCTGCTTTTCCCCCATCTCTGTTCTCTGGACACAACATTTCCAGGCTCCTCACACCCCAGGCCCCTTTCTCCGCCCTAGTCCAACACCCCAGTTTGTCCATGTTCTTATTATCAAGTGATGCCCAACCTGAGCACAAGAGCCCCTGCTGGGGCCAGTGAGAGCAGGGCTCAGGGACATAATTTCCTCCCTCGACCTAGACCCTCTGCTTCTTTTAAGGCAGCCTAAGGCCGAACCTTATTTTCCCGGCTTCAGAGTTCAACAGAAAGTCACATCTGTGAGGATGAAGGATGAAGAACACTCCAGGCCTAGGCAAGGAGTGAGCAGCACGTGTGTCTGGGGGAGGGAGGTCTGGCAGATGGCCTACGAGGAAGGGGGAGGGAGCGAGGCAGCAGCAGGGAGGTCGTGCTGGGCTTCCAAGGATGCCCATCTGTTTAACACTACTCTTTTCCCTCTTACATACCAGTGTTGTGCCTCCTGGATCTGCACCAGCCCAGAGGAGTCCTCTAATGACAGAGATCCCAAAGGGCAACAGAGAACCCAAGGGAGGAGTGAGGAGGCCTCCCATGACCAATCACTCAAGATAGCCGCTGTCCAGGGTGCTTATGCCAGAAAGGGAAGGGAGTAGATGATGTAGGGAAAGCAGGTCCCTGGGGGCCAGAAGACCCTCCCAGGAGCAAAGAACACAGACCCATAGAAGACCCTGTTAGCTTGTTGTCAAACCATCAGCTCCCATGGAGCTTGTGGACAATTAAGACCCTAAGCTCTTCTTTCAGTCGGTTCCCCCCAAGCCTTTACTTTTCCAAATCATTTCTTCTTTAGCCCAAATATAAGACTTTACAATGATACCCACTGAATTTCACCCATTAGTGTTAGGCCGTCATTCCAGTCTGTGAAAGTATTTTGGGATCCTGATTCAGCCAATGTGTTGGCCTCCCTCCCAGCTCAGTGTCAACCTCAAATTTGGCAAATATGCCGGCTAAGTCCTTGAAGGGCTAAGAAGAGAGTCCTATGGTCCATCCCTAGTGACTGCATTTCAGACTGACATTCATTCATTAATCAAGAGAGCCAGAAACTCTAGGCAGGGACAGGAGCTGTTAGAAACACAGTGGAGGGGAATAGAAAGGGTATGGATGATCCCCAAATTTTATTTGGGGCATTAATTTAAACCTCCCTCCCATTAAACCCTGGCTGCTGACAAATGAGCTAGCTTGAGGTTCCCCTTTCCCTTGCCCACCTGCCATGAAGGAGAGTGAGCAATGAGGTGGCCTAAAGGCAGTTGCTGGGGGGCTGGAGGGAAAAGAAGGTGCAGAGGAGAAGGCAGAGGGCCTGGACACCTCTGGAGCTGGGGGGAGCCAGAGAACAGGCAGGGGAGCCCCCTTAGGAACCACTTAAAGGGCCAGGAAAGGGTCCTGGGGGCCCACGAGAGAGCTTCCAGCCCAAGGCCTCCTAGAGCAGGCCTTCTTAATTTGGGATCCATGGGGTTCACCAAAGGGTCCCCGACACAGACAAAAGTCAGAGCCCCACTACAGCCCAAGCAAGAGCTTCTCGAGGGGTCCTCGCACCCAGAGGGGTACCCACTTCCGCAAGGGTCAACGCACCCTGGTGAAGCAGCTTCAGGTCTGTGCTGTCCAGCTCTCTCTGGGTCTCATTTCTCGGCTGCACCAGGAAGAGCAGGCTGAGCAAAAGGGGCAGGTTACTGCTGGCTGCAAGCCGGGGAGGAGAGAAGGAGAGTGAAGGGAGAGGCCCCAGGACAGGGGGCCTAGAGAGCACCTGGCTTCCCACTCCCAGGGAGCCACCTGAGAGGCTGGCCAGACTGGCCACTAGAGGACAACGCCCGTCTTGTTCCCTGCTCATTTAAACAAGCCTCCTTTCCTCCCCTGTTCGTCCCCATCCCTCAGACAAGGGACCCCTCATCTCACTGCCCAACCAGCCATTCTCACAGCTGCCTGAGCGGGGCAATGGTCCTTATCTTCTATTCCCTTGAGAGGAAGCAGCTGTCTTATTTTAGGGCCAAGAGACAGAATTCCCTGGGAGACTTAAACCTCAACCTCTTTTAAAAAAATTTCCACAATTTCCAGCTGCTCCCCACTTCACTAAAGCCTCCCCCCACCCCTCCTCAGGGCAAGGAAGCCTGGATAAGCTTCTTTAAAACCAAGAGACCCAGTATGGCTTTGGAAACCATTCTCTCCTTGCCAAGAAACCTGAAGCCTCCTTCCCTCTTCTCTCTCCCTCCCCACAGTTCTTTTTCTCTCCTAGCTGGGGGTTCGGAGTACAAACACAAGTAGGATATGTAACCCACTACATATACACCACCATACAGAGACACAAGTAACTATAAATAAACAAAATGGAAACAAAAAAGTGTTCCCAAGGGCATCTGGGACCAAGAGACAGAGGTCCTACCTGGTATGGTTGAACATTGAAGTGACCTTTCCAATGAAGAGGAAAGCTACGGGAAATGCACTGACCTCTAACCCTGAGTCTGTGATGCCTGAAATCCTAATCCTGACACTGACTAGCCAGGGGACCTCAGGCAAATCATTTCATATTTCTGAGCCTCAGTTTCCTCATCTGTAAAGTGCAGGTGATATTAGAATCACAGGATCATACAGTTAAAGCTAGAAAGAACCTGACAGGCCATCTATCTAGTCCAACCCCTCCTTTTTTTACAGATGAGGAAACTGAGGCTCAGGGAGGTTAACTGTACTTGCCATCTGGCAGTACCCAGGAAGCAATAAAGAAATGTAAATTGTTTATGGAATAACAACTAAGGAATGTTCTTGGTGGGACCTTGCAAGCCTGGGAGGCTCCTTACCAGCCACATATGCAAAATAAAGTCGGGAATTTGAAACAAAGGATTGAGACAAAAGAGAGGGAGAGGTCTTCTGGCTTTCCTTCCTCCCTCTCATTTGCGTGGGAGACCACGGCCTGGAGGCACACGAAAAGGTGGGGCTATGACTCAAGCCACCCTTTGTGGTATATCCAGAAAACTCTGCTGAAGAGGGGCAGCTAGAATCAGAAACTGATACAGGACAAAGGGCTTTCTAACCCTGAATCAGACAGAGGTTAGGAACAGAGATAAGGCTCCTGCTCCTGGGGAGGAAATCGGGGGTTTCCAACATTCCATGGGTTTTCGTGGGTTCCAAGCCAGACTAGATACCCTAGAGGTTCTATTTAGCTGGCTGGATGAGCTCACTTTCAAAAGATGTGGTCCCCGCAGCGCCTGTCCTTAGCAAGGAGAAAGTCACATGCAGGGAAGACTCTGTGCAGCTCCAGGAACCTTCTGTGTGTATATGAGTGTGAGTGTGAGTGTGTGTGAGTGAGTGTGTGTGTGTG